TATAAGGGTAGACTGATGCATGTTATTGTCACACACACACACTATTTTTGTTTGCATGATTGGTTTTTGCTTCTTTTTTTTATTATTTTGAGAAATTATTTAGGAGAAGAAAATTCATAAGGACAGTTATTGTATTCAGTCAAATGAGACCAGATGGGGTAGTTAAGATTTTAATACATAAGGAATTGAAGAAGTCTGTGGCCAGCAAGGCCCTGGAGCGCATCGGCTCTTTAATGCAGACCTCTCACGGCCGCAAGGTACTGCGCATCAGCTCTTTCATTTCTTTCTTCTTTCTTGTTGATTTAGACGAAGCTCTTCTTATGACTTATTTTGGGGATGAAAAAAAATGAAGCTCTTCTTTAACACACACACAGCTACTAACATATACTACCTCCGGTCCTTAATATAAGATCCTGTTTGACTTTTATTTTAGTCCTAAATATAAGACCCAAATTCACTTTATCTCTCATATTTATACATTTTTTTCCAAAGTAACCCTTCTAACAATGATAGTTCTAGTCAATACACTTGATTAGTAAGGATATTTTAGGAAAAACAACACCTATTTAAGACAAATAACTAACTCAACTAACTTTCTTAATCTCTTCAAATTAGTCAACTGACTCTTATAATTAGGACCGGAGGTAGTATAAGCAAACGCATAATTTCTTTATTATTAATCTATATGTTAACTTACATAAAATAGATCTTTATTTTTTAAGAAATCATATGTTTTCTTTTGCTTTGGATTTTTCTTATCAATCTGTTTCGGCCATATACGTATTAGCATTGTTGTTTTGCAACTAGCTGAGATCATGGGCGTTACTTGTTTGAGAAGGGAAGCCAAACTACAGCAGTAGGACATGAACCGTAGTTTCAGAATCAGAAGCCTGAGCGAGTTAGATGACGATGTTCTTTTACATGTTCTTTCATTTCTTCCATTTAAAGAAGCTATTCAAACCAGCATATTATGCAAGAGGTGGCAATATTTATGGACACCAATTCCCATACTAGATTTCACCCATATTAGTGTAGTTACTCATGACAGCTGTAATCCACCAAGTTAGTTAGTCAAATTGTCAAGAGGGACGGATTTACCAAAGTGTATTCACTACTTATAAATATCTCACATGTATTACGGTGCTTTGTGGTTAATACAATGTATCATTCAGATCTCACTTTTCTCTTTCCTCTCTCCTTCTTTATTTCGTTTGTCCTCTTTCTCTGAATATTCACATGGTATCAGAGCCATGGAGGAAATCACTTCACCGAGTAATCCTCGAATATTAGATCTCAGTCTCAAATCCACTGATTCTTCCCAAAACTCAAGTGTTATTGGCTTCAATCACGCGATTTCAGCCAAACTTGGTGAGAAGAATTTTCTTCCGTGGAAGCAGCAAGTTCTCGCCGCTGTTCGGGGTCATGGTCTTGAACATTTTCTTACTGGTGAAAATAAACCTTCAAAACTTGATTCGAATGGGAAAATCTCTCAATTGTACATTTTGTGGCAGAAACAAGATCAACTTCTACTCTCTTGGCTTCTATCCTCTGTATCAGATGGAATGCAAACACGGTTAGTTGGATGTGAAAACTCGCATCTTCTTTGGAAAAGAATCGTAGATTTCTTTGAAGCTCACACAAGAGCAAAGATCCAGCAGTACAAAACTGAACTGCGAAATACCAAGAAAGGTTCAAATTCTGTTTCTGAATATCTTCTTCGTATCAAGGCTCTAATTGATGCTCTAATTTCAATCGATGAGTCAATAACTACTCAAGAACATGTGGATGTGATATTGGAAGGACTTCCAGAAGATTATGATGTCGTAGTAATGATTATTACTGCTCAGAAACACAAGTTCACTATCGAAGAAATTGAGTCACTACTCTTGGCTCAGGAGATTCGTCTGGAAAAGGCTCTGAAGGCTATTGGCATAGATAACGTTACCGTCAATCTTACTACTACAAAGCCTTCTGATGATAGTACAGGCCATTCAGTTGCTCCAACAGTGAATCATACTGCTAGATCGGTGCAAACTCCACAGACCACTCCTACATATCCACATCAGTTGAGTGCTGCGCCTAATCGAGGCTCACTCTTTAGAGGCCGAGTTGGTGGAGGTCGATTCAGAGGAAGAGGACGAAGATCTGGTTTGTATTGCTATTATTGTTGTAGATCTGGTCATACTGATGCTAATTGTTACTATAGATATGATCACCCTATGCAACCTCCACCCTCTCATCTGTATCCTAACACCTACAATCGTCCAAACCATAATTCTCCCTATCCCACCACCTCTCAACCTCCTTATTCATCTGCCAATCCCTCTTATCCCTCTGTCAATCTTACCACAGCTCCTTCTCTGTACCATACTCCTTATCATTCTCCCTCTCCTACACCTGAATTTTACTGTGATTACTCTTGGATACCCGACACTAGTGCTTCTCATCATGTCACACCCTATCAACACAATTTGACTCAGGCTGTACCAATGAACAACTCTTCAAATCAAGTTTATATGGGTAATGGATCAGGTGCGCAAATTCTTAATAGAGGTTCTACTGTTCTTTCATCTCCTCACAATTTCCTTCTTCGTCTTAATAATGTGTTGCATGTTCCTTCTCTGGCTAATAACTTAATGAGTGTTTCCCGAATAGCTATTGACAATAATGTCTATTTTGAATTTCACCCATACTGGTGTTACATTAAATCTCAGGGAACTCATCAAATCCTGCTTCAGGGACATCGCAGAAGTGATGGTCTCTATTATTTTGACTCCCTTCTTCCTTTGCATTTGGACAATCTTCGCAATTCTTCTCCGCAAGTATCTTCTGATCAAGCTCGTCTGTTTACTGTTTCTGCTACTTGTTCCACTTCTGTTCCTTGTAATACGTGTAATGGACAGCACAGTTCAGCCACCACTGTACCACAATCACAAACACTTGAACACACTATTGATGTCACCTCTTCACCTCCTTCTGATTTGGTTGCCTTATGGCACTTTCGTTTAGGACATGCTTCCTTTTCAATTGTTAACAGACTTATCAAAGATTGTAAGCTTGGGAAAGTTGATTCTAATAAAGATGTTTCTTAGTTTTTCTGTTCTTCTTGTTGTCTTGGTAAACTCCATCGCAATCCCTCTCCCCCCTCTAAATCTGTATATACTAAGCCTCTTGAGCTAATTTTTGCTGATTTATGGGGCCCATCTCCCTGTGTTTCTTCCTCTGGTTTCACTTACTACATTGCCTTTGTTGATGCCTTTTCTAAATTCATTTGGCTATACCCTCTTAAAAATAAAGCTGCTGCTCTATCTGCCTTTATTCAATTTAAAACTATGATTGAAAATCAACTAGACTACAAAATCAAGTCTCTGCAAACTGATGGAGGTGGTGAGTTTAAAGCCTTTGATCCTTTTTTTACTTCAAAATGGTATTGTCCATCGTTTGTCCTGTCCTTATACTCATACTCAAATGGGTACTGTTGAACGAAGACATAGACATATTGTTGATACTGGTCTAACCTTACTAGCTCATGCTAACTTACCTCTTACCTTTTGGTCTGATGCCTTTTAACTGCCACCTATCTCATTAATCGAGTTCCTTCTTCAGCTATTAATTTTGAAATTCCTTTTACTAAACTTTTCCACACTACACCTGATTACTCTCATTTAAAAGTGTTTGGCTGTACTTGCTATCCATTATTACGTCCTTACAATTCTCATAAATTGTCTTTTCGATCTGTTGAGTGTACTTTCCTTCATTATTGTTCTCATTACAAAGGGTACAAATGTTTGGCTCCTTCTGGGCGAATTTATATCTCTAGAGATGTTAAATTTCATGAACAATCCTTTCCTTATCATGCAAAGCCTTCTCCTACTTCTTCTACTCTTGTTTCTCACTATGGGTCTATCACTCCATCTCATATTCCTCTTGTACCTGTTACTTCTTTGTCTCATACTGTTACCTCTACACCTCACTCCTTTTCTCCCTCATACTCACATATTCTTCCAGCTGTTTCTTCATCATCTTCTCCTTCTACTTCCTCCTCTTCTTCAATTCCTAACACCTCTAATCCTGATAATGAGGCACACCTTGTTCCATCTACCTTGTCTCCTTTATCTACTTCAATGGCACAGCCTGTAGTATCCTGTCATCCAATGCAAACAAGGTCAAAATCTGGTATTCTCAAACCCAAACTCTATACCTACTTCTGTGAAATCTGCTCTCAAAGATTCTAATTGGTATGATGCCATGAAATCTGAATATCAAGCCTTACTAAACAACAAAACCTGGTCCCTTATTCCACCACCATCTAATCATCCTGTTATTGGTTGCAAATGGGTCTAGAGGAAGAAGGAAAAACAAGATGGTACTCTTGACAAATATAAAGCTCGTCTAGTTGCTAAAGGGTTTCATCAAACCTATGGTTTTGATTATAATGAAACATTTTCCCCTGTTGTCAAACCTGCAACTATTCGAACAGTTCTTACCATTGCTTTGTTTAATGACTGGTCTATTTCACAAATTGATGTGAATAATGCATTCTTAAATGGTGTGTTAGAAGAAGATGTTTACATGAAGCAGCCTCCTGGCTTTGAGGATAATAACAATCCTCATCTAGTTTGCAAGTTACACAAAGCTCTCTATGGTCTCAAACAGGCACCTCGTAACAACCGAAAGTGCAGAGGATTTCATGAATTTTATTGGAAGAGCATTGTCACTTCGAGGATCATCTAAAATCGCAAAGTTTAAACTCTTAGGCCGCATGAATGCCCTACTTGCTGTTGAAGCATTGGTTTCTGCAGCGGCACGATGTAATGTCGAAGATTGTGAACTCCATCTCAAACACCTCGAAGTGCCTTTATTCTTCCCTCATAGCTTGCATAATTTAGCAACACTGACCCATGTACACATCGAACGGGCCCATCAGAGGCTTATAGTGCATCCTTCAATTTGCCTGCCAAACCTAAAGACGTTGAAGCTATGCGATGTGGTCTTCTTCGAAGAACAATTAACTCAAGCTCTATTTTCTGGGTGTCCTGTTCTTGAGACCTTACATGCAGAAGATTGTTTTTGGGAAGGTGTGAGGACGGTGAGTAAACCACCTGCCAAGCTTCAGAGATTGATCATAGATGAGCCAATGTATCAAAATCCTTATAATCCGATTGTGGCTGATGAGTTTGTGATTCATGGAGATGGTCTCAGACAGTTCAATTATACTGGTCATTTCTATTTTGATTACCGCATTTTAAATTCTGCATTGTTGGAAGAGTTGACCGTTGAAAGTAACCTTCCGAATACACATAGAAGAAGCGTTTCAGAATGTCGTTTTTAGCAGCTTGCAGGAAGGATGAGAACCTTTAAGAAAGTTTCTTGGAGGACATTTTTTTTGGGGGGGGGGGGTTCTATAATGATGCCGTGCGTAAAGGCCGTACCACGTGGAGATATTGTTAGTGTTTCAGTCTTCTGTTTGAATATTATTACAGATTTTACGTTTATTAAATTTAAGGTTTTTTAATGTTATTTATAAATAATGATTATTTATTCACATATTTATTTCGGTAACTTAAAATGTTGACGTTTCTAATCATATTAGGATTTCAATATTATATTTTCGAGATTTCAATTTATTACCTTTTTCATCTAATTTTATTTTTTGGTTTCATTTCGTTTACTAATTACAGGCAAATTCTGATAGAAGAAAATGAGATTAACACCCTCGTAGAGTATTGTATTAGACCATGTTTTCTTTGCCGTGAGGGGGTGTTCAGGTCTTGTTAACTTATAAAACTCTTGCTATTTTTTGCAATCCCCAGGACATAAAGAGCTCCTTTGTCATAGTATGTATGTAATCTGGCTAGGCTTAGGTTCGCAGTACGAATTCAAGCTGCAATCTTAGTGATTCTCTCCTCCTCCACCTCAAAATCAACTAATTTGATATCATATCAATACTACAATTAGGGTTAATACAAACTTTGGTCTCTTAAGTTTGCCTTCATTTTTGTTTTGGTCCTTCAAATTTCAAACCATAAGTTTTGGTCTCTCAAGTTTCTTTTCATTTAAAATATTAATTCCTATAACCTAATAAAAATTTGGACCATTTTGCCTCTAGAGGGATCAAAACCTATAGTTTGAAATTTGAGGGACCAAAATCAAAATAAGGGCAAACGTGAAAGACTAAAGATTATATTAACCCTTACTATTAAATAACTTATCTTTGCACCTTTAAATCAACTAATTTGATATTACAAATGTATTTCTTGGAATTCATACAGCTTCAGAGGAAGGACAAGAGATGAAAATATGTTCTAAGGATTCCACAGTGTTACACCAAAAATATGTAACTGTACGTTCTAGTTAAATATTCATTGGCGGGCCAAAAAAAAGTGTTTACACTCAATCTATTCTCCAATTTCCCCCCTTTTCAATTCCATACAATTTAAAAACACCCATGCAAACGTCTCAATGTCATGTTCCAATTAGCTCATACATTAAGAAATGGTAGAAATAAAATATAAAAACAGAAACTATAATCGCAAAGGTTTTTATCTAACCTCTAAATAGTAGCACCTAACATCATCTACAGTGGGAAATATTATCCAGGGCTTCCTAATGCTAAGTGGCATTTTATCTGCCATCCACTTTTCGTCTATATTAAAAAGAGATACCATGCTTAAAAACTTGCTACGAAATTTTTTTATATATATTTTAAAAAAAAAAAAACTCTAGTGCACTTTGATAAGAATAACCAAGGTAGACATATAACAGCCCATACATTTGCAGCAATTCACAAGCAGAGACCAACTCTACAAAAAATTCCAAATTGTTATAAGATGAATCCAATCTAGTAAAAGGAAAAAAAAAAAAAAAACATAGTCTGGGACTCACAACAGGATCCATGACAATTGTCTCACAATAGGATAGGAACTCCAAAGCATAGAATCTTTAACAACCATACATAACATTCACTACAAAAAAAAAGGACTTTAGGTGACGGCTTTTTGTGACGACTTTCTGCAGCGACGCTAAAAAGTCGTCGCTAACAATAAGACTTTCAGCTGCGCAAAAATGCCGCCGTTGAAAGTCAACTTTGTGGTGACTTTTTTTGTCACCATTGAAAGTATACCTTTCAACGACAACACAAAAAAGGTCACCACTAAAAGTCAACTTTCTGTTGTGACTTTTTTGTCGCCGTTAAAAGTATACTGTTGAATATAAGACCTTCAGTGGTGATGTCACCACGGATGGGTTCACTTTCAGTGGTGACTTTCTAAGGTCGTCGCTGAAAGTAGACTTTCAGTAGTGACATTCTAGTGTTGCCATTAAAAGTCTTTCGGTTCTCTATTCAACCTTAGACTTTTAGCAACAACATTAGAAAGTCGCCACTGAAAGTATAATATAATAATATACATTTTATTTTATAATAATAATAAACAAATTCAAGCCAGTTGAACGATAAGAAGATTGGACATGAAAGAAAGTGGTCACAAGTTCGAACCTTGAAGAAGACACCTTTAACGTGAAAATATTTGGGTAGTGACATGGCAGGGAGGAGTGATGTGGCATGAGAGTGGTGATGTGACAACGACGTAGAGGTGGCCAATGATGACATGGAGGTGACAAGTGATAGCGGGGGACGTGGCGGCTAGCGGTGATGACATGGCATGGATAAAGCCAGTTTTTCTTGGGTATCGCTTTCAGTGGTGACAAAAAAGTCATCACTGCAAATCATTTTAGGGGGCATCAGATTGTCGCTACTAAAAGTGTCTTTTAGCAGTGACTTTTTTTTGTTGTTGCTGAAAGTTTTTAGCCACAATTGCTACGGTAATGACTTTTTAGTGGCGATTAAAAACTTTCAACGATGACTTTTATACCTTTAGTAGCGACAAAAAGTCAATTTTTTTTGTATTGATTAGTCACTAACGATCACGACAACAATATCAACAAAGTTAACACCTTGACCAACATCTTGCACACGAAATGATTCAAATTTATCAAATAAATAATTATTGTAAACGTAGGCAATACCATGCTTAGGTAGAAGGAAGTAAGATTCCTCTTGAATTTTATAAAACTCTTCATCTAAAATGTTCACATTATCATCCATATCTATCTCTACTATTCTCATCATGTTGTCCTATATTAGGAGTCTCGCCCGTGATTTGTCTGACTTACATATTTGTGAGTTGCTTCCCTCATCTAAATTCTATGGAGTAGGGAAAAACATGATTTCCAAATCTTGTAACTTCAATTCATCAGGTAAGACATTCCTAGCTGCAAGCATGTTCACTTTATGATTATATGAAACTCCCATTTTTGTAATTTTTTCTTCAACTCCAATACAATATCCTCCTCATAGAAGGTATATGGCATCTTCACATGAACCTCTACCACAGTAACTGAGAATCATTCGCAAAAAAATTGCAATATACAAATATGTTGCTATCTTTAAGAAGTTTTTTCCTGACATTATAAAGTGTCTACCTTGCAACAAGAATAAAAAATAGGATATCAAATACACAAAAAAATTGTATGATCACAATAAATTATAATATTTAAATAATTTTGACATTAGAACAAGTATTATCAATTTTAGTAGTATCAGAAATAGCATATCAAGCATAAAAAAATTAAACAAAAAATTTTAACATCACGCAATGATTAGTTTTGATATAAAAAAAAAAAGTAGAATCAGTGTCACACAATGGCATTAGGTACAATGATATAAAAAGTAACGGTATCAGAAAAAGTAGTATCAGCATAACATTGAATAGTATTAGGTACAATAATATCAAAAATAGTGGTATCAAACAAAACGATAGAGTTCTTAATATTAAAGAAGGAACTAATGAGAAAAGAAGCATTAAATGAAATTGATACTATCCAAAGGCAAGATAAATTGAGATTTTTTCTGTATTTTATCTAAAAATTTTATCTTATCATTTGCACATCTCCACTATTTTCATCATTTTTTCATTGATGATGAGTATCACCCATCATGTCTCTAACTTATATTTCTATTAGCTGCTTCCCTTCTCTAAGGAAACATGATTTTTGTATCTAAATTTTAAAAATCATGTAACTTCAGCTCATTAAATAACACATACCTAGCTACAATTGCATTTACTTTATGATTATATCAAACTTCTATTTTTTGCATATTCTCCTTCAACTCTAATACAATATCATCCTCATAGAAAACAATAATAATTGTCATAAGATGAAAATCTTCAATGCTTCACCCACAATCTTGATCTTATCAATTGAGATTGGAACACGAGCATCTGTAGTTGTAACCTCTTCAACCACTACTATGACTTGATCATCTTTTATTTGTGTGTGGTGAATACTTCACATAGATAAGTATCACTATAAAAAATGTATATTTTCTAGTGATTAAATTATGACTTTTCTAGTGGTTTTAACCGCTACAAATAACCTTTACAGTGATTAGAAAAACTACTAGAAAATCATGTGTAAAAAACAGTTTTCTAGCTGTTAAAGGAACCATTACATATTATGGTCAATACGCTAGAAAATTTTTAGCTGTTCCATTAACCGTTAGAAAAAACAAGAATGCAACGAATTTTCTAGTGATTCAAAACCGCTAGAAAATTTTCACAAAACCGCTAGAAAGTTGGCTACGAAATTTTTCAATTAGCGCCAAACCTTTCTAGCTGTTATTAACCACTAGAAATTTGACGCCAAGTGGACCAAATTTAAATTTTGTGAAATTTTTTTCACTTTTTTTATTTTCCTAGCGGTTTCTGAACCACTATAAAATTCATTTCAGGCAAAAAAATGAAATTCAAAATTTTTATTTTTATGAAATATAATATTATTAATTAAAAAATATTAAATAGATTATATTAGAGAATTATGTTAATATGTGTATTTACCAAAGTATTACATGTTATATATTTAAATTTTGTGATAGATAATAAGTAATTAAATTATAATTGAGTCAAATGAATTTAATTTAATAAGATAATTGAATTGGAGATGGGATAGTTTGTAGTGTTAAACCTTAACTTTTATATTGAAAAGTGGTCGCATTAATTGAGGAGGGCATGACAAATATAAAGAAGAAAAAAATGAAAGAAAAAGATAAATAATTATGTTAGTAAACTATAAAGATAAATAAAAAAATTAAAATTTATAAAATGAATATCATCTTACTGTATAAATAAAAGAGAAAAACTGTCATATGAGAGAATAAGAAAAAAATGAGAGAATTTTAAAGAAGGAGAGGAGAGGAAGTAAAAGAAATGAGGTAAATGAATGAGGAGGTGAGATGATATTTATAGAGATCAGCGAGAATTTTGATGAAATTTCTAACAGGTTCAAGGACAATCGCTAGCAAATTTGATGAAATTTCTAGTAGTTTTATGAAAAACGCTAGAAATTTGTAGTGTTATCCCCCGCCGCCACCTGTATGCAGCCACGTGTTAGGACTCCTCAGAAAAAATAAATTATTTCCTAGAACCGCTAGAAACTTTGATAAAATTTTTAATGATTTTTAAACCACTAAAAAATACAATATTTTCTAGCGGTTTCAACAACAAAACTTCTAAAAATTAAATGCTGGAAATATAGCTCTAACTTCGCACCATATTTATTTATATACAACTGAAATCTATTCATTCAGTGATGTCACCTAATAAAGAGATCTTGCGCTTCGAATTGGTGCAAAACTAGTTTCAAAGTTGAATTTCTCCAAATCTTCTTACTTTTTTCTATCAAACAATCACGTTTTTTTTTAACATGTAACAATACATCATGATTAACTAGCAAGACTCCCATTGTTTGGAATCGTTGTTTCAAGTTGAACACGATGTCATTCTCGTCTACCACCATCAATGGTATTTCTACATTTATTTCAATTTTCTCCTTCAGTGTCAATTTAGTCGAAGGATGTTCAAGATAGTAGTACTTAGGATTCATGTTTAACAAACAATGCATCATAGTTAAGTCGTTAGACAACTCTTTTCCTTTGAATACCAATCTCTACTTTCAAAATGAAATATTTACCCTATCCATAATTTTTCGCTTAATGTTTTGGATTCTATCCATACGCCCTACCTTAAATTCAAATGAACGTTTAACTTTTGAATCATAATCAATGCATAAAAAATACACACTGCAGTAGAGTCATTAAGAGTGAATCAAAGCAACACACAAAATTCATATTTTCAACAGTGTTATTTTTCAAAGACTTTTTGCCCCGAAAGAACATAAACACGTGTAAATTAAGCAGAAGTTCTCATTAAAAAATTTTTATTGGACATTTAAGGATTTAAATTAGAGTATTGGAACACAATGTGTACATAATCTTCAAATTACGAGTCCTTTCAGTGTTTGAAAAGTTTTTCAGCTCTTTCTCATTGATAAAATTTTTAATGTGATTTTTATCTGATTTTTCCATGATTTTATTCTAGTCATTTTGTGATCCTCTTTTTTTTTTGGTAAGTTAATTTTTTTACACAAAAAGCTTATAGAAGAGCCTACTTGCAAGTTGCAATAAACAAAAAGGTTTAGCCGGCCCAGCGATGGTGACGGTGGGCCCAGTAACTCCAAAATATCTCTGGCACTTCTAACGCCGTTATAACGCTGTGAATCAATTACCTCAAGTCTTGTTTGATGCGGTCGCTCCGTCATAAGGATGACCTTTCCCTTTAAGAAAAATAATTAGTGGTTGGATTCAAAAGTTGGAGTGCGGGACGTCTCGTTTGGTTCCAAAGGGTGCCGTGTCAAAATATCATTCAACACCTTTGTACACGCGTGACATTATTATTGGAAGAAGCACCCCGTTCCCACCCCTAAGTCGGTCGCCTCTTTTCTTTATAAAAGAAGGCCCAACCCTCCCTTTTCTTTCACAATCTGTTTTATTTTGCGTTCAAGAGAAAACCCTACCAAGATCAAACTCTTCAAGGTTTGTTTTCTCTCCCGATCTCTTTGTGTTATGCTCCTTTAGGTGTTTTTTCTTTTCTTTTATTGTCGCCGTATGAAGTTGTTGATCGGATTGTAGAGTTTTTAACTGGGGTCGGATTATTTCGAACGGAGACGTTATTCATAATTGTTCTTTCAACCTTTTCGTTTAGATGCGTATTTATACGTTTCTGTGATAACTGTGGGAATTGTGTTGCTGTTTCTTATTTGTAGTTGAGTTTTCTTACGGGATTGGCTTATTAAACAGACAAGGGCAGAATTCTGTCGAAAATTTTCAATTTTCGCGTCTGTCTCTCGATTCGTTCATGACCTACTCCATCTTTTTATATAAGCTTTACCAATAGTGGTTTCTTTCATTTGTTCGTGTGATCTGATTCTATCTTGAAGGCTGTCAGTGAAAATTCTTTTCCGAACATCTGCGGATCTTCTTATGAAAGATTTCGATTTTTGAGTTGGTCTTTCCTTTGTTTGGAGAATCGTTTCAATTCGGGTTTTGTTAATTGTATATCGTTCTAGTTATTTCATGAGATCTGTTCATGTAGTCTGATCTTATCTATTTTTTGTGATGTAGATGCAAATCTTCGTCAAGACCCTTACTGGCAAGACCATCACTCTCGAAGTTGAGAGTTCAGATACCATAGACAATGTCAAGGCAAAGATTCAAGACAAGGAAGGGATCCCACCAGACCAGCAGCGACTGATTTTTGCGGGTAAGCAGCTTGAGGACGGACGTACCCTTGCTGACTATAACATCCAAAAGGAATCGACTCTCCACCTCGTGCTCCGTTTGCGTGGTGGCATGCAGATCTTTGTCAAGACTCTCACCGGCAAGACCATCACCCTTGAGGTGGAGAGCTCTGACACCATAGACAATGTCAAGGCTAAGATTCAAGACAAGGAGGGCATTCCACCAGACCAGCAGAGGCTGATCTTCGCTGGAAAGCAACTTGAGGATGGTCGTACCTTGGCTGACTACAACATCCAAAAGGAATCCACCCTTCACCTTGTGCTCCGACTCCGCGGAGGCATGCAGATCTTTGTTAAGACCCTTACTGGCAAGACCATCACCCTTGAGGTGGAGAGTTCTGACACCATTGACAACGTGAAAGCCAAGATCCAAGATAAGGAAGGGATCCCTCCAGACCAGCAAAGGCTAATCTTTGCCGGGAAGCAGCTTGAGGATGGCCGTACCCTGGCTGATTACAACATCCAGAAAGAGTCCACCCTCCACCTTGTGCTCCGTCTTCGTGGAGGAATGCAAATTTTTGTCAAGACTTTGACCGGCAAGACCATTACCCTAGAGGTGGAAAGTTCTGACACTATTGATAACGTCAAGGCAAAGATCCAGGACAAGGAGGGAATCCCACCAGACCAACAAAGGCTTATCTTCGCTGGTAAACAGCTTGAGGATGGCCGAACGTTGGCTGACTATAACATCCAGAAGGAGTCAACTCTTCATCTTGTTCTGCGTCTCCGTGGTGGTATGCAGATTTTTGTGAAGACCCTTACTGGCAAGACTATTACTTTGGAGGTTGAGAGCTCTGATACAATAGACAACGTTAAGGCAAAGATCCAAGATAAGGAAGGCATTCCCCCTGATCAGCAGAGGTTGATTTTCGCTGGAAAGCAGCTGGAAGATGGACGCACGTTGGCTGACTATAACATTCAGAAAGAGTCCACCCTTCACCTTGTGCTTCGTCTCAGGGGAGGTATGCAGATCTTTGTGAAGACCTTGACAGGCAAAACCATTACTCTGGAGGTCGAGAGTTCGGATACCATTGACAATGTGAAGGCAAAAATCCAGGACAAGGAGGGAATTCCTCCGGACCAGCAAAGATTGATCTTTGCTGGGAAGCAGTTGGAGGATGGAAGAACCCTTGCGGACTATAACATCCAGAAGGAGTCCACCCTTCACCTTGTCCTCCGTCTTCGTGGAGGATTCTGAAATGTTCAGGGCTACTTTGTTTGGTCAGTTTCAGTGATTGTTGGTTGTGGTCTGTGACCGACAGAACTTGTTTTTGTGTGGGTCTATGGTGGCCCTTTAAATAACTTGGTTGTGTTTCCTTTTGAACTCTGAATATTCCAGTCAGTACTTCCCATTTGCTGTAATATCCATCGTTTGTTATAATATCCCAGTCAGTATTTCCCAATTAAGTCTCTCGTGTCTTATGGCATGGTGTTTCATTCTTGATTGCTTCTTAATGCATCATGTTATGGTATTAGTTACTGGTAGATTAATATGAGAGTTGCGCATAACCCTGATTACTGGAGTTTTATTGTGTAGTTAGGTATCACCATGTTGTGCCCTGAGCGAAGTGGATATAGCTTTGATTGTTATAGAAAGCTAACGTGTGAATGTATCTGTTGCATTGCATCTTTTCATCCGTTATCATGATGATGTGTTCTTGGAACTTTATCTGAAGTATTGCATGTCTACACCTGTTATAGTATCAGGTACAGCGTGAAATGAGATTGAGAAAGTTGAGATTACTGGGACCAAAATTTACTGAATTGGGATCAAATCGAGAGCTTTTAACTGGGGAGCTAATACTTCGTTAGTGTTTGTTATCTGATGTTTGGTTCTCATCAATTCATCTAATCTTTTTTGGAACCCAGAACAAAAAGATGACGTTGGTCTCATGCTTCCTGCCTATATTATGTTGGTAGTAGCTGTGGCCAACTGGCCATTCGCTTTCTCTATCTGCTTTTCTTCTTTGATGCGTTGTGATGTTTCTGCCTATGCTGAGAAACGTGAGCTCTCGCAACCTACGCATAAAGAAATTGGATTTTGGCGCTCCCCACCAAAGATTTACGTGATCCCGTGACATCGCGTGACCCTTTTTTTGTTTGGGTGAACGAGATCGCGTAACTTTTATACAGAAGATACCCTGAATGAAAGGGTCCTTTTTTGTTTTTTTAAACATAAGTATCTTTCTGGTAGAAGTAATCTTATTCAAAGTATTGTGTGGGGGTAAAGGAAGACAGAGAAGGAAGTGGCAATTCCACAGTAAAATGCGAATTGTTTCTGAGAAATATGCTACGATTATCGGCAAATGTATTTCTAAACCGACAGTGGGACTGCTTACTGCTTGCTTAGCTTCCCTGTTTTGAATATAAAATGTGATTATTTATCTGCTACGCCTGCACTTGGTGAATAATCAACGACTCATACCCCTAGGAAAAAAAATGTATTCCCAATTACAAGATTTCTTCAGAGAGATTTTCAAACTAAATTATGAATTGATATATATTCCGTTATTCTTAGGAAAAATCAGAGAGAAGGACTAAGAAAAGATTATATTTATTAGGGAGGATCCTAAAAAGTGTAATTATTTAGGAGGATCAAATATCAGTATATAATTTTAAAAATACAAAATACTCCCAACTACATCTCCTACAGTTTTTCTAACCACTAACTTTACAACCTATTTTTCATTAATAAAAATATTTTTACACTGTTATTTTACTTTTATATCCGTATTTTTATATTTTTATGATCTCAGTTTTCAGGTCTAATAACAATAAATAATTAAATACTGTTCAAATAAAATACATTTAGCTGAAACTATAACCTCCCTCCATCTATGCTCAATTGATGTAAACCCCAAAAAAATTATAAACCAAATAATTATGAGTGTGAAGTTTAAAAATTGAAATAAACCAAAAAAGGCAACATACTAACAACAAAAAATATTAATAAATCACATAGATCACGACACTAATGTTATCTAACACATTAACTTGAGGAATCTCAAAATTAATCTCCAAATATTATCCAGATGCAATTAGACTCACTGTATTAGTTAACGAAGTCTATACAATATTACTGTTATTATTAATGATCTTATAATGGTACAAACCAAAAATTAACAACGATTAGTATAGGGCAATGAAAAGTATTAGTGGTGTGAATCCATGTTGAGGAATGAGAAGAATGAGAGAGAGATGGGCCAGTATGAGATATTAAAGATTTAATAATTTAATTAAATCAAGGATTTAATTTAAAATTCAAAAATAGTGGTTAGAGGAAAGATAGGAGATTTGGTTAAGGGTAATTTCTTATTTTTAAAATTATATTTTAATATTTGGTCCTCTAAAATAATTACATTTTTTAAGATCCTTCCCAATAAATATTACTTTTTGCATGTCCTTCTCCCTAATTTTCCCTTAGTTTTATCTTCTTTTGCATTACATCCGGTAGTTATGCCATGATAGGAAAATACAATGACAAAAGGACCAGATCCTCACATGCTACCTTATACGAAGTAACATCGTTCTCGGCTTTTTGGGGTATGATGTTTTGTGCTCCAACAGGATCAACAGACAAGTATGCATCAAACAGCCTGGAATTCTGAAGTAACAATGGCGTTTTTAGCTGCAGAGAACTTGCCAGATACAATTCAACCTCGCCCTACCTTCCTCATTCACACAGTAAAGTTGGATCGAAAAATAGCTATTCCTGGAAAACTCCATTTTTCACTTTTGATCTTGGCAAAATCCAACCTTGTGAACGATAATGATCAATCTATATAAGTAAGGTCCCACTCCACCGTCCTTCCTTCGATTTACTCTACACTATTGAGTTTACGCGTGAATCATAAATATTCTCCCATCTTTAACTGTGAATTTGGCATTCTCAGTGGGAATATGCTGATACAGTTGTTCAAGATTTGGATTTCATCAAGAACTTTAGGAATATTCTTATCTGCTTGCGAAGATTGTAGTTTTGGGAGTTTGTCTCTGCTAGAGAGTTTTCCATGAACCAGTGACTCCTTTCTCTGAAGGACAAAACGTACAGGCAATGAATATCTATGAGGCCAAGAGAGAAATTCTAGTCCTCAACAGTAACGTTGTTTGCTTGTCTTATTTGTGGTTTTCAAGTTTCGGTTCTTTTCAACTGGTACAATCTATTTGATGTCATTCCAGTGCTCAACAGTAACCAAACGAAAAAAATTATCCTATAGCTGACTTTACCTACTTGTCCTCTCAAGCACAAGAATTTTATTTTTTTTATGCCTTTAAAAAGGTAATTTGAAAGCAGAAAAGAATCATGCATCAGACAAACTGCTATGTTTCATGTGAAACTCTGCTAAGGAAATGCTATATCAAAATAAGAAATCCACAGAAACCCCAAATCGGTTTTAAGTCCCAAAGCCTAGATCTACACAATTTCCATGGCATTAAGCGTTAAAGAGGTTCATCATAAATGGACCAATTTGGGATTAGATAAGGAAGCACCAAATACCAGCTCACCAGTTTTTTATTCAACAAACGTTCGTTTTAGAATCTTTCAGTGCTACGCGTGTGATGAAAATTGAAATCTTTACAGGCGAGAGAAGCGGAACACCCTCCCCCCTTTATTTTTACTGTCCCTGATGGAGAGAACTGACCTGATGGCATTTTGAGTGGTTAAAGAGACAGATCACCTAATAGCATTAAGTTTCAACATACTTCTGGGCCCTCCCCGCCAACTAGCCAACAATGAAAATTTCACGGATCATTTTAAAAGCCACACATCACATTCATGTATTCCTTCCAATACCTTTTCATCCACACGGAGACTAGAATTCTCTTTAACCAAGGGCAAAAAATCCGCGACATATCATATCAAAATCGTACCTTGGTGAAATTGATCGGCGCCACCTGTTTTAACGACAAGGATGACTATTAATACCACGCCAGTGAGTGGTTCATCTTACTTTTCCTTTCGCTTTTTCATCCCTTTGTTATCCGAATGGCTGCTTCAGAGCATTCTTCCACTGACGAAGTCTTGGAGAACCTTCGAGGTTTTTTTTCCCCCCAAGACACTCACGCTTTCTGTGGACATGTTTATATTTTAAAAATTCTTGTCTTTTGGTCACTGAACTTATTCTTTAGTCTTCTTTTTTTGTCACATGAGCATGATTATATGAGAGATCTACTGATGATAACTTTCTCAAGTCTCAGCTGATTGATCTCGTGCCATGCACTTCTGTTGTGGCGTTCACAGTGGACATTTCCTTCTTACATCCTGCTAATTTAAGGTTGCTGCTCCTTTTCAGAGGAAACCAGCAAAGAATCAAAGCTAGAATTTTCCAGCGATGAGGAAGAGTTGATTACCAGAATGTATAATCTAGTTGGTGAAAGGTCTGTTACTTCCATTTTCTTTCTTTTCAAATACTAACAAAAGGTACAGATTCATCAACCTGTTTATCCTGAAAGCTAAAATTACTAGTTCTTCCATCAGGTGGGCTTTGATAGCTGGGAGGATCCCAGGAAGAACAGCCGAAGAAATCGAAAAGTACTGGACTGCCACATACTCAACAAGTGACTGAAATGAAGTTAACGTTAGCTTCATAGAGTACAATTATATTGGTCATCTGCAAGTTTTCCTTCGACACCTTCTCTATTTATGACAGTCTTTGCCTTTGATTCAGCTCATCTCAGACTTTATTGTGTCACTTGTGTCTGTGTGAATGTAGTAGGCATGTTACTCTTATCATGAACCGATTCACAATCATTGTGTTTCAGTACTTTCTATCAATTCAATGTGCTCTCCAGGTTGCATGAATCGCACTAAGTGATGTTGGTGGGTGGGTGGGTCTGTCTGTTCATGACCTGTTAAAATATTCTGCCTGAAGGTGATTCTTTGGAGCCAAAAGGGATGACTACAACCAGGAAATGCCAAAACAAGTCACTGTCTTAACCAGAAAAGCAGCGCATAATATAACCCTTCCTCTTTACCAAAGCGACAGTCACTGTGACGAGTAACTCTTTGGCTTTGTTTGTGTTATTTAGTATTCACGCACACGGATGGACATTCCAACTAATAACAAGCTATATAATGGTAAAAGCTTGGCAAAAAAGCATTCAACATTAATGACAAAATCATATCAGGAAACTAATGATGGTTAGGTTGAGTGGTAAGAAACTTAATGCCCCTTGAACAAGGTTTTGAGTTAGAGTCTCGTCAATAAAAAAAAGCAACATTAGCAGAATTTTGTCCAATTAAAATCCCAAAATGACCGTAGCACCAACAAAAAAATTATATGGGGATGTCCTTGTTCTGTTACAGCTTCAAGTAGAGATATTGATTAGTATCAACTAGACAAATTCTCAAAAAATAGTGAAGTGTTACGTGTCTAAAAGACTACTTTTTGCAGAAGGGACATGCATGCCTAACAACACAGAAATATATAATGGCTTACATGAGCTTGTGTAATTAGCGCAAGCAGATTTACTTTACCCAAGAAAGAAAACGCAAGCAGATCTACTTAAAGAAACTAAACTGCCTTCGTTCTAGTGTTTTTGCTATAATTTGCCATGATGCATGCTTCAAAGAGTGAGACAAGTCATGTAAACTTTTGGATTAGGCTTGACTTGATGCTCCACCTAACACTGATACTTCAGTTTTCACATTTCACCTTAAGCGCGCACGCGTGCACACATAACCATCTTTAGATTATAGTTTTATGAAGCCAAATTTGCTTATTTTCAACATAAATCTCCCATCCTCTATTTGAATCTTTTCAGTGTTTGCAGAACAGTCCAAGTCTTCGCTCAATTCAATGTAATGCTATCTCTAGTTTTGTGCTTTCAGTTTTCGCTAATCTCTTCGGATCTTCCCTGTTTCCTTTGTATCTTCGATTCTTGGTTTCTGAGCAAAGATCTCAACGCGAGACACCAGTTTCCAATGTTCTATATAACAAAAATTTGGATGCTTGGACAATCACTCTTCCCCGCCCAATGTTCTAAAACAGAGGCCACGTACTTAACAGGAAATATCTATTTCCAATTGGAATATTCCATTTTCCTTTGGTAAAGTTGCCATGAAAAATGATCTGTTTTCCACTTTCTTTCCTCGTTCTCATACGCCAAATTCCATTTACATATCATGATTGCCCAGAGTATCCTCTTACCGAACGGTAAGAAACTAATTTCCCAAGATACTATTAGACGCTGTAAAAAAGACTCCTCTCAGTGTTTTTTTTTCCATATACACAGCTTTAAGGATCGAACTTAAGACATAATATTTAAGGCCGAAGTTCCATTCACTTGGACCAACATTTATTGGTTAATTTTGTAAACTTTTATTGCACAAGCAAAAGCAGAAGTAACAGAAACATTAACATGAGCTCCATTTCGGATAATATTGGCCCACTTTTGCTGTTTATCTTCGTACTTTGCTCTAGGCGAGGACATAAGAAATCTGTAACAGACATCCTCTGCAGAATAATTGTACAAAGTCTGGATTGTTCCATGTAAAAGATACTGTGAATTTTATCCATTTATTCCCGGATAATAAAAGGGGGAGTAACAAAATAGAAGATCATGAACAAGAAAGACTAAACAAAAAGGAAAAAGGAAGATTTTTCATGTTGAGCTTATAATTTCTAAGCATCAACAATGTCTGGATCAATTTCAGCGGATGCAAAAAGAAGCTCGGGCTGTTCTTGTCTTCCGAGCTCGTATGTTCCATCAATGGCATTGTTCCTCCCCAACGCCTTCAAAGCCAAATGCGCCGCCTTCTGCCCCGATATCATCATCGCCCCAAACGTTGGACCCTGCCATAACAATCATCATTATTACACATGTTCGTGAATCTGTCTTTTGCATATGGAAGGGGGGAAAAAAGAAGAAGCTTTTTTTGGTTGTTTCATTCACATATCATGAACTTACCATTCTGGGGGCTCCGTCAATCTCTGCAACTTCCATGCCCGTGACGATCATGCCAGGCACAACCTCCCTAGTTAGTCGAACAATATCATCCTCGGCAGTATTCATGTCCAGCGCCTTCATTCCTGGGACGCTGTCGATCATCCCTATGCTCTTCAATCTCTTAACCCCCGTCGCTCCGAAAGGCCCGTCGTGCCCGCACGAGCTCACCACCACCTTCGCCTCCATCACGTTCGGGTCCATGCATGATTGTGTGTCGTGGTTCATCGACACCAACGCCCAGTTGGTCACAACTCCGGCCACCCTCCCTTCCTTCACGATCAAATCCTCTGCCGCCACCGCGTTGAACAGCTTCACGTTCGGCCGTGAGAGAAGCTGGCTCATGATCGTCGAAGTAAACAGAGCCGCGTGTTTAATGACCACGTAGTCCTCAGCCTCGTCGTACTCGATCCCGAGCTCGTCGAGGAACATGTGGGCCGGCTTGCGGACAACCATAGCCGAGAAGAGCTGCCCGCCGAGCCATGCACCGCCGCCGGGGCTGACAGATTGTTCGATGATGGCCACGCTGACAGAGGGGTTCTTGCTGAGCTCGTAGGCGCAGGAGAGGCCAGCAGAACCGGCTCCGACGATGACGACGTCGGTGTCGGCGTAGGTGATCATGTCTGTCATGTAACGACGGGTCATTTCGCGGGAGACGATGGATTCTTTGATGGGTTGGAACTTGAAGGAATTGAGGTCGTAGGAGGGAGTGTTTAGGGACATGGAGATCGAAGATTTAACAGGAGTGAAGCGAGAAGGAATTGAAGAAGGTATCTTGTTGTGGATGAAAGAAGATTTCGGGTTTGAAGAGATGGAAGAGGTCAGGGTTGCAGTGGCCATGGCTGCCATACTGTGATTGATGATTCGGTACGGAATTGGATAGAAGAAGAACAAGAGGGAACTGGTCTATACTGCGAAGTGAAGGAGGGAAAGGGATTTATAAACAAAATGAGTAGGACCTTACTGGGAGAAGAGTGAAATATCTGAATGAAAAATCTGAGTGTATTCGTTTGGGAAGAGGAAGATAGAGTTTCAACGGCGGAGAATGATGGGGTTTTCGCTATCCGGGGAGGAGATATTTTGTCAGACATCGGATACCATATCAGCTTTTTGGCAGAAGAAAACAAGCAACAGGAAGCTGTGACTGCAAAAAGAAAAGGGAAATAAAAGGAGATGTACAGTAGTACCATATAAGTACAAATGAGATTCACAAGATGTTTGTTTCTCTAATCCAATGATATTTTGCTAAGTAATGATTTATATCATTGTTCACAATGTTTTAGGATCGTGCTTATGATTCACAATCTGGGCAATGTATAGTAATAGGTTAATTAGGTTAAATTCGTTTTCAAAGAGTTTTTATATTAAATGCACGAAATGGACAATACCTGCGAAATTTTTAATTTACGTTTTGTTTAGATACTTCAATTTTATTACAATTTTTAAAAAAAAATCTGAGATTTAAAATAATTGTATGAACTCTAATGAAACATATGGAGAAAGTCTGATCTGAGATTTAATATCGTGAATAAGAAGATGCAAAAACAAAAAAAGAAGATAAATTCATAACATCCAATAATAAAAAGTAGTCAAAATAAATAAATAAGGGCTTTGTGTGGTTGTTAGTAAGGCTCCACAAAAGCCAGGTTGGTGTGGACCGGGCTAGGCTTGGTTTGTCCGGCCTAAGCTAGCCAGTTTAAAATATCTGATGGGCCCCCAAAATAATGGGCTTCAATGTTCTGGGCTTTTCTGCCGCTTCACATACATGGAGTACCAATTACAGTTTTTTGTGGTCCACAAAGATCCAAAAGAAAATTAGCTCAACAATGCAGAACGAATTTAACCGTAATCCCTATTGGAAAATGTACTCATATTCAGTGTCGGACAGTATTTTGAATAAAATTACCTCTAATAAGAGGTGAAAGATAGTCCAATATTAAATATAACAAAAAAAAAACAATAGTCCAGTATAAAATACAACCAGATATGGAAAAAAATGTAAAGAGCAGCAGGAAAATAAGGAGAAAACAATCCAATAACAACATGGTCGTAAATACAAAAACTAATTTGTAATATAAATTGTATTATAACTAACTCTTATATTTAAAACAGAGGTAGTATTAATATTTGCAAATAACACCCATCAACCAAAGAGTTTGAAACTACCAAAGAGGCCAATTTGGCAATGAGAGTTACTTTAATAATTTTAAGGGGTGTTTGGATTAGAACCAAACTATAACTTTAAAAATGATTTTTCTGGTATACAGAGTAAGTATATGAGAAGAGCATGAAAATGTTTTTAAAAAACACTCCCAAGAAACCCAAAACACCTTTTTATTCTTATAAGCTGTTTCAAAGAGTCAATCGGCAAAAATATGGACCAAGTCCATGCACATGCACTTATCAGCTGGGGTCCTAATCCAATAATTAGAAGAATTAGTGAGTAAAACACCATTTTGTTTTCAGGAAGGCGCAAGGCCATGTGCACATCGCTGGTAGATCCAGAATCCATTCATAACGTAAAAACCCTGGTGGAACGGACCCTAATCTTAGAATTAATCTAAATAGTAATAATTGAGTTGAATTGGTCAGAACATACAATTTAAATATATTTTTTTTTAACGTTCAATTGCTCATGGGATGCAGTGGACTTTGGGGCCATGTGATCGAGTTGCGTACTCCTTCTTGAGGGACAGGGCAATGGTAATAATAGAGATCAGATCAGTGATTGAATTTAAAATTTGGCATTCAAGTGTGGGGGATGTTGGTTGGCTGGTCATTATCTTCTTAAACTTTGAGCATTACATTTAACCCCCACCTTTCCTTCCTTCTTTTTTTTTTTTTTTGGTTACAGCTTTTCTTTTTCTTTGTTCCCTTAATCACCTCGTTGGTTGCTAAAGATTAAGTTTAATAATATTATCATATTACTCCTAAAAAGCAGCTTAACCCCCCATTTCTATAAAGCAAATCTAGTTTCACTTTCTCCACTCTAAAGCAATTGTCATTCAACAAGAATTAATTCATCTTTATTTGTTTAATTTATTGCCATAACTCTGTGCATTCTTTGACTTCGTCTCCCAATTTTTGCATAATATTAAGATATAAACCACTCTTCTGGATCGCATGTGTAGTAGACTGCCATTTTCAATATAATATAATTATTTATTATTATTTAAAAAAATAATACTGCATTTTGCTCTAAATATGTATATAGGACCTCTTAAGAAATTTGGCTTATCCTCACTTTATTAACTTTTATATGGAAAATATCATAAATTATTAAACATATAAATGAACTCTTATAGTAGTATAAATGGAGAATATAACATATACTATAATATTGGTAATAATTGGGGTTGAGAATAGCCCAGCGGAATGCAGCTGTCAAGAATTTCAATCACGCGCTGTTTCATGCAGCCAATAGAATGAGAGGCCCCACCTCCCTCACTTCTTCTTCCCTCACGGGGTCCCCTGTCTCCTCCCTCCCCACTTTTTCTATTCATTTCCTGCTTCCCATCTCTCTTTTAATTCTCATTACCCATAATACCCCTTCTTGCTTTTGCTGATTTGTTTCTCTCACACAGACCAATGCTACACACCCAAAAAAAAAAAAAAACAGAGAAGATTTTATTTATATTGCCAAAGTTTACATCTACTGTGAGGACATCCAATGAAATGGTAATAACACAGAAGATTAGATGGATTTTACATTTCTTCTACAGTGACGAAATACTATTACGTTTAGTGGGCAATGCATCATGAGTGGGCAAATTGGTAAATTCCACGCCTGCATATAGTTCTGTTACTCTCAAGAAAACACAAGATGCAAATAATTAATTCCAACAAGTGACGTCGGTATGTGAGCTTGGGTCCAAAAAGAAACTGGGGAACATTAGCATATGATGTTACAACTGGATCCTCAGATGCTCCGTATCATTTTCAAATAATCCTCCTCTCATTTATTCAACACACCCTCCTCATCTCTCACTCACAGATCCAATCTCTGTCACTCCAAAATCTTCCCTCATCCACCATGGGCACTCCTCCAAGCCCGGTTTCTTCATCACCGACCATGATCCTTCTCATTGCACTTCTCATGGCCATGGCGGCTGCATCCCAAGCAGCCATTTCCAAAGGATCCTTTGAAGACAACTTCAGCATAATGTGGTCCAAGGAACATTTCACTACCTCCGAAGATGGCCAGATCTGGTATCTCTCTCTCGACAAAGAAACAGGTAATTCACTAACTATCTTTTGGTTATGAAGGTAAACTGTTTGATCAATAGACCATTTGGGCTATGTTTGATCAAACAGAGCATTTAGGATACTTCCATTGATGAGAACGATATAGGAAAGTGGGTAGCGAAAAGTTTAAACCTTTTTATGTGGTTGTTTGATGAACAGGATGTGGGTTTCAAACAAAACAACGCTACAGATTTGGATGGTTCAGTATGAAGCTGAAGCTAGTAGGAGGTGATTCTGCTGGTGTGGTGACAGCTTATTATGTAAGTACTCAAATACTCAAACTCAAGAATGCATGAAATGGTATGTCTCCCAGAGATGGTTGGTAGATATATGAGACGAAGGAATTGGATTGAATTTGACGCAGATGTGCAGTGAGAATGGAGCAGGGCCAGAAAGAGACGAGATTGATTTTGAGTTCTTGGGGAACAGGACAGGGCAGCCTTACTTGATCCAAACAAACATCTACAAGAATGGTACTGGAGGCCGTGAGATGAGGCACGTCCTCTGGTTCGACCCCACTGAGGACTACCACACTTACTCTGTTCTCTGGAACGAACACCAGCTCGTGTAAGTTCCCTTTCTTCTCTTCTCGATGATCCCATTTTCCAACTGATAGGACCAAGACCAACTCTCAGATTGGTATAAATCAACAAACTGTTCATAACCAGTACTGATGAATCTTCCTTTCTGAACTGAGCCATTGCTAACAACAGTAAGCGATTGTGGGATTTGGGATGGCAGGTTTTTTGTGGACAGAGTTCCAATAAGAGTGTTCAAGAACAATGGGAAGCCAAACAACTTCTTCCCAACCGATAAACCGATGTACTTGTTCTCGAGTATATGGAATGCAGATGACTGGGCCACGAGGGGAGGATTGGAGAAGACGAACTGGAAGCTAGCGCCATTCGTGTCATCTTACAAGGACTTCAGTGTGGATGCTTGCCAGTGGGAGGATCCATACCCAGCTTGTGTGTCCTCCACCACTAAGAACTGGTGGGATCAGTACAATGCTTGGCATCTCTCTGATGATCAGAAGAAGGATTATGCTTGGGTTCAGAGAAACTTGGTTATTTATGATTATTGCAATGATTCTGAACGATTTCCTACTTTGCCTGAAGAGTGCTCTTTGAGCCCTTGGGATTAAAATTCTTTTCTATTCTTTATTTTTCTTCCCCTCATCCCCCCTTTTGTCTTGAAATTGTATGCTGTGAAATAAAGTTATAATGTCATGTATTGTTTTAGCAATTTATTGATATAATTTATTCACATAAATTATGGGGAATATTCATTAAAATAAAGCATATAGTTTCATTAAGTTTGTTATCTAATTATAAAGTACAATATACACACCTCCATAAATATTTAATGATATATAATTTGGTTAAAAAGTTTAATTAACTTATGTTAACTTTTTGATTATATTAGTTTTATAGAGTGAAAATTTGACCTACATCTTCAACAATTCAAATTAAATTATTAAATATAGACTTTTTTTTACGAAGAATTGTTTTTATTTTAATATATCATAAAAAGGGAATGTGATAGTAAATCTAATCCAAACAAAACTTCATGCTTAATTTGACCCCACTAAATAATACTCCTCCGGTCCTTATTATAAGACCCCATTTGACTTTTTATTTGGTCCTAATTATAAGACCCCAATCCATTTTGTCTCTTATATTTATGCATTTTTTTTCAAGATAATCCTTCTAATAATGATAGTTTTAGCCAATATACTTAATTATCAAGGATATTTTAGGAATGACAACACTTATTTATTATAAATAACCAACTTAACTTACTTCCTTAATCTCCTCAAATAAGTCAATTGGGTCTTATAATTAGGACCGGAGGAGTATTATTCAGGAACAAAAACTCAATATAGTTATAAAATATGGAGCAATAATAACAAATGGTTTATTTGGAATAACTTAAAGCAATTTTTTAGTTATAATTTACAAAATATGAGATAAATATATAATAAAATTTTTATTTTGATTTAAGTGAAAATGCTTATAAGCACTTATACATTGTAGATCTAAACAAGGAGAAACCCAACCAAAACCTATAATAACCTATTATACTAGGTGCTTCAACTAGACTTAAAGAACATGAATAGAAACTAGTTTCTGAATATGAAACATATTTTAAAGTGTAATCAGATAAGTATAACTGAGATTACTTATATTTACTTATGCATTTTGTAACATCCTAAGTTTTATCGGGTTTTAATAGCCTCTTTTGGGTTGATTTTGAGGATAGATTAGTGATTTAATCTTGATCTTGGTGTTTGGGTTGGATTTGAGGTTGGTTGGAGGCATAGGTGAACGTACCCCTCTCAGGCTTCGCCGCGGCGCACCGGGAGTTTCAAAGGGGAGTGTCTTCTCGGGAAGGTTTGGCCGCGGCGAAGTTTAGGGGACGTCGCGGCGAAGTTGTTCAGGTGAGCGAGGCTTCCCTTTCTGGAAGGTTTCACCGCGGCGAAGGTAAGGGCACGCCGCGGCGAAGTCAGGTTTTCAGGCGAGTAATCCCTCTCGGGATTAGTTCGCCGCGGCGAAAGGTCGCGAATCTATATAGTCGCGGGAGGGTTCAGCGTGCGAAAATAAGAAAAATCTGAAGGAGGAGAGAGGAGCTCTGCTAGGGTTTCGAACTTTTGGCTTAGAGGAGACATTTCTAAGGATCCATTACCTCAAGTAAGTGATTTTAACCTCTAATCTACCTTCTTGATTGGAATTTATAAGGATTTATGGAGAAACCCTAGGATTTTTTAGGTTGTGTTGGAATTGAGGTTTTTGACCGATTGTTTTGGGTTTAATTGATTGCATTGGGTTAGTTTAAGTATTTAATCGGTGTAGTTTTCTTAGATTTAAAGAATCTTGAGTTTTGGAGTTAGGGTTTATGGAATTGGATGATTTGGGATTGAGGATGATAATGTAGAGATTGATTTTGAGTTTTGTGAATTGGGTTATGTTAAGGAGGGTTAAATTGGAGGTTTAATCGGTTTAGAATTGTTGTTGGAACCTTAATTGCTCACATGAGATGTTGGAGATTGAATTCCTATAGTGGGTCCTTGAGGTTTGAACTCTAATTGATGCTTGGAAGGAGACTTGATGTTTTAATAGACTTTGAGGACTTTGGAGTGTTGTTTTGATAGTTATACCCTTTGAGTTGGGTAGAGTTTTGATGGGAGATAGGAATTTTGTGTCCCCAAGTGTTGTTTTGGCCACATTATTAGTTTGAGAGCTAATATATGTTGGTTGTGTGTTTGTGTGCTTGTGTAGACCGGTTGTGAGTCTCGGTGGTGCACGGGGCCACATCGTTGGTTTGTTGTTCCTTGCTCAGGCGAGAGGTAACCACTTTCCAATCCTTAGTACTTGCTTCTGTGGTATTGTGAGTAGATTTGTGTTTTATGCTCCAAGTAGTAATTGTGTTCAAACTATATGTTGTATATAGAAAGGGAAAACCGTCTTGTGGGGTTTTCGACTAATGATGAATGAATTTTGGAATTGTGAAATGAATTTTGGAATTGTGAAAGATATGCCACTGAATGAGGTTAATTGTGAAATGATTATTACTCTTGATTATGATTTGAGCATGATGCATAATTTGGGATTTGGTGAGAGTTTGATAGTTACTACCACGTGGTAAGGCCTCCATTAATGCATGATGGTTGGCTCTTTACGTCCCCCATAGTGAGGGATAGGCCTTCGGGCTCATTACGTCCCCCAGAGTGAGGGATAGGCCGGGTTCGGCTCCTGAAAATCCCCCAAAGTGAGGGATTTGATTGATGGGATTGCATCATTGCACTTGCATGAATTGTTGTGGCTATCAATATATATATATATATATAATTTGTGAACTGCCCCACTTGACACCTCACGAGCACCTATTTAGTAGTACCTAGTATTGGAAAGGTTGGTTACTGAGACTTTGTCTCACCCCGTGGTTTACAATATTTTCAGGTGAAGGTTCTAGGCGTGCGCCTTCGGGAAGAGACGCAGAGGCTTGAGCTTGGTTAGCTTTAGGCCTCTAGCTTTATTTATGTATGGATAGTTGTATATTGCCACGTTTAGGGTCCTTTTAAACTATTTTGATTGCCCGGTTTATTCGTAAACTGGAGGAAGTGTATCTTCTTCTTATTTCAATTGGGCCGGAGGCCCCTTTTTATTGATTTTGTAAACTGGAGAATATATTATCTACTCGTTTTGTTGGCCGGAGGCCATTCCTATTATTTTATGAAACTTTGTTATTCGTGGTTGAGATCTATTGGGATGGGCTGATTTTGATGTATGTCGTTACCCGGGCCGGAGGCTCGGAGGCCCAGTGATTGTGATTGAATGATGATAGTTGCATGCAACTGCATTTGAGATGGAACCAAGTTTTAAATGTTAATTTTCTAAAATTACGCAATTTCTTTCTACTATGGTAGTTGTTGTAACATCTTTCTTTTTCTACCATAGTAGCGGTCTTATGACGAGTTATAATGTTTTTGAGGTTAAGGGTCTTACACATTTGCATTTCATATGATGAAAGTTTGCATCTCTTTTGAAGTTAACATATTATATGGTTTCACTATTATACTCTGATTGGTCTAAAATTGACCTCAAAAGTGATTAAAAAAAGTATTTCATATAAGTAATTACTTATTACATTATATGGGATTAGACAAACTTATAGAAGTAGGATTAGGGAATACCATCTCCCCTCATAATACTCTCCAATTCTACATATATGAGTTTGTCTAATCCCATGTAACATATAATCTCTCATGCTAAATATTCTTTTAATAGATTTTCTCAATCCCAATCTCAATCCTACTTCTCGTTTTTAATACTTTGTACCATATGAGACCTTAGCTTATCATTTGGTACGAAACATTGAAAATAAAGGATGGGGGTTAAAATTGAGACTGAGAAAATATTGTTTAGTATGAGAAATTGTTTGTTGCATAGGATTAGATAGATCTAATGATCTATATAGGTGGAATTGAGGAATACCATAGGGAGAAGTGGTATTCTCCAATTCTACTTCCATGAGTTTGCCTAATCCCATATAACAAGCAATTACTCATATTAAAGAATTTTTTAATGATTTTTTTCAATTGCAATCATAATCCATATCTCTTATTTTTAATGCTTCATATTGAACAAGATCTAAAAGTTTCCTTAGCTCCTATCCGAATGTGGTACAATTGATTTAATCATTTCCTTAAGCATCCACATCGAATCATTTTCATTTATTTCAACATGGAAATATACCTTATTGGAGGCTACGTGAGATTTTGATCATGCAGACTTCACTAATCTCATGGATATTCACTCATTTACCTCCATAATATTTTCAATTGGAAGTCAATATTAGAAAATGCACATCATTTATGAAGTCTGCAATACTTTTGAACTAAATATATTCTTGAGTTATGGACAAGCTCGCGAATTTGAAGGATTCTTCATTAAAGTTGAAGGTTTGCCATGAAATGGTAATTAATGCCCTCTTCTTCTTCAATACTGGCTTTGATCTGAATATTCAGATCCCAGAAAAGTGCGAAATAAGCTTTGTTCCTCATTTGATGGAAGCTAAGCTCTGAATTCTGCTTACCAGGAAGAGAAAAAATGATGCATACACTCAGAAATCTTAAATTTAGAGAATGTTTGAAACACCCCAAAAGTGCTTTTAAAAAATAATTTTTCATAAATCGAGATAAATTTTTTTATATATTTAATTTGTATACTATAAAATGATTTTTAAACTTATGATTTGGTTTTCGTCCAAACACCTCCTTAATATATCTGCATATCTCAGAATATTTCATTGTGTACAGACGTGAAAAAAGATAATACAAACAGAGATGTGATGTAACAATTTTCATATTGAATATGATCTGTACATACTTTATCCTCCCTGTATCATAACTTCCGTACTTGGTTCCATGATTGTTTAATTTTTGCAATAAATGTTATTCCAAATTTGATTTAGATTAGGATTTTGATTAAACATAAATATAATTATGTTGTCCATATGTAATTGTGGATTATGGGTTGGGTATACGAAAGAAGAGACGATTTGTACATTACAAAATAACAATCCAATGGCCCAGGGCCCACGCGCTAAAAATTTTGTCGAGGGTAATATTGTCAACTCGCTCTTGTTCGGGGGTTGAAAATTTTTTGCATTGCTTAAACGACATCATTCAGCTGAAGGCGCGATAGGGTTCTGGTTAGGGGGCCGTGGAATCGATAATTGAGTTTATTGTCGGGAATCAGAGCCAGCAACGA